GTCTGGGAACGAATGATGCTCTGGACCTACACATACAGAGAGCCAAGTGTCAACCAGAGTGTCCGTGCAGACTAAGTTTTAGAGGTAGTTATAAACTACAATATATTCACTACAATATATACTATATAGACTGTATAAGACAAACTGAGCTGCATATACTGATGTTAGCACAGACTGCTGAGCACAGCATCTATCTGTCTCTTTGAGAAAGGGTCACACTGGTGGACAGCAGTGTGGGAGCCTACCTTTATTGCTAGTCAGTGTGTGTCACTGTAAAACAATCAAAGCTACTCTGGTTATTAAATCTCAATATAAATATGTGGGCTAGCTCTTTCAAGCTTCTGTCACGTTTAATATGTTGATTTTGCGCAGGTTTGCGTGCATCTGCTGCACGTAGGACATCCTGCTGATGTCAGTCTAACCTGTTCAAACTCCTCCAGGTCCACCTCTCCATCGCCGTTCAGATCAAACATCTTGAAAGCGATCTCAAAGTTCCTCTGGGGAGCTGGACACAAGAGCAACACACAAAGCCACATGAAGAGATACTCTCAATTACACACAGTATATTACAAATATTACACAAAACACATAATTGTACAATATATTCAGTCTTCTCCTCATTCAAGGTGGCGCAAAGTTCTCACACAGGGAAATCAACCCTCTAACTACACAGCAAAAATTGGCCCCGCCTTCCACCAACACTGAAGCTGCTAAAAAAAAACACTGCACACTCTGTTATTTTCTTTTGCTTTAATACATTAGTAACTTAAACTTTACTGTCTACTTTTGGAACCTGATCTAAACTGTAATATTTTGTGAGACTATGTATATAAGATCTATATACCCTGATGTGACAAAATGTTACGAACACGCTCACTTAATATGCTGTTGGTCCTGACGAGACAGCTTAAAGCCATCGAGGCACGGACTTAAAACGAACTCTGAAGGTGCCTGGTGGTAGCTTGTGCCAGGCCCTATTAGCAACCCCGTTAGTCGAATGATGTGTTTCAAACCCCATCCCTCATTAACTGTTTGACCTGCTGCAGAGCAGCACGAGCAGGGATTCACCACTGCTGACCCCACAAGACTGCTAGTTTTAGACATGCTCTTTATCAACTGGCTTCTGTCTGTCCATCCACCAGCACAGGAAAAAAAACAAATACATAAAAATCACCGTTACCAGATGTGACAATCAAAATTTATGTGTTCATCTGTGAGTGGTCATATTTTGACCAATCCATGTAATTCATACACCAAAACAATAACATGCAATATAAAATATTATACAGTCTCTCCTTAATTTTAAATTCTTTTCATGGCTTCACATTGTTATTGTACAGTTAACTACTATGAATATTTATTGCTTCAAATATTCTTCAGTGCCTTTTATGGAAGATTAATCTTTATTAAAAAGGCACTATGAAGTGTAAATCTAAATCTGGTAGGCAAAATACATCTACTTTGCTGTTTTTTGTGGCTGTGTTAAACAGATTGAAACCAACCATAATGCATCCTGCTTCGTCTGCTTTAAAAAAAGGCTTGTCCTTGAAAACTTCCCTTAAGGTTTTCTCCCTATGAACGGATTATAATAAAAGGTCTAGCAGAGTTGGGGATAAAAGTTTACTAGCCTTTGGAGAGGAACGAGTTGAGCTTCATTTTCATTTTATTACCAAACACTACGGCCCGTTGGGAGTGGAGGCATTAATGTGCGATTTATTTCCTGTATGAACCACCAATACTAGATCAAGGTAAGACTGATTCTGTGTAAGCAGACTTGGTCAGCTCACATTAACATTTAAAACCCACGTCTTATACATGTCCTGTCCTCCCTAATAACGTCGTATCAAAAGACATCCCTTCTTTTACTTTCTGTCCTAACTGACAAGTAGAAATGTAGAGAGCAGAGAAGACACAAAAGAGACTCTCATGAGATCTGATCTGTGAACTATGCAGACGATTTAAAAGATGTTATACTTAATGAGATAGGTCATGTGAACCACTTCAATTCTAGGAAGTCTTGCACATTTCAACAATGTACTTACTTGACAGCACAGTGGTGAGAAAGATGTAGTCAGAGAAGGAGATAAGGCCACATTCCCCCAGTGTGTAAAATATGCTGTCCTCATCTGCAAACTTCTCCCTCTCCTGGGCAATCTTCTGCTCATCCAGGTCAGGACACACACACACACACACACACACACACACACTACAGGTAACAGCTATATTAAAAAACCTACAACATGATCCAGCACTAGCCTTACAGCTTCTATAGCTGTGCAGTTGTGTGTGTGCAAGCAAGTACGTGTGTGTATGTGTGTGTAGGACCAAGGCTCAATTAAAGACTTGCTCAAACACAAAAATCTAAACACATTCTGGTCTTTCACACACATACACACACAATAAAAAGTTCACTTCATATAGCTGGGTTATCACATGAACAGTCATGCAAGTGCTGCATACACATGAAGCCAAACAGGTGAGGATGATGATGGTTAGTCAGCAGTCAGCTCGAGTATAAAACATTGTCCACCAGAGACCGTACTCACAGTGAGAAACTGACACAAAGAGAGGGAAAACATCACGAGAGACTGCAGCACAAACGCACACACCATTTGTTAAACATAGCTGTAATGTAACCCAGAGCATTAATCATTAAAAACAGGGCGAATTAAACTCTCTCTCACACACACAAACACACAGTTAACGACATGTTTTCCATGTGTATATCCACAGCACTGCATGAAAGTGCGACTTAATCACATGCACACTACACACTCAGTGACAGACTTGAAAGACAGTGTCCCACTAGTAGGGCTCTCCACCAAACAGACGGACAGAGCATGCCTAGAGAAGGGAGAAGGGGTGGAGGAGGGAGCTCGGCAACGCTGAGCCCATGTGGAGTTACCTCCGTCTGTAAAGGGGTCCATTTCAGAGGAGTATGAGGAGGGAGGAAAAACAACTGTTAGAAAAACAAAATCATGGCCTCTGCTGTTTTTTTGCTTTGTTTATAGCAGGGCTTTAATGGCAAAGACACAGATTTGCATTCATATAGCTGCAGACACACACACACACACACACACACACACACACACACACACACACACACACACTGAAACAATCTTGCTCAAAACAAGATAATTGGTCGATGCCACTCAAAGTTAAGAATTCAATTATGCTTTGCAATCTTCACGGTGTGCAACTACAATTAGCGTACAATGAATAATCACACTAGGACTATGATTTGCTGTGCTACATATTATCACATTTTGTGTACACAGAGCATATCTAAACTGAAGTGAATCAAAGTCATGTTGCAGTATAATCACTAACGCAGGCTGAGTACACTACAAATCAAAGCTAATCTCATGTTATCACTTGCAAGGGTCACAGACATATACTAACCACATGAACCAAAACATGTATAAATGTAAACATTTGGTGGCACCCCCTTCATATCAAATCTTTCAAATCATTACCCCTTTAACCGACTCCCTTCTCATTGCATACAAACAAAAGACAATTAGTATGAGGGCATAAAGTTTATCTCTATCTCCAGTTCATGTCTATCCTCAGTTTTAAAAGTCAGAGATACAAAGACAACAACATTTTCTACTAGTACTTAAGATATATTCATTCTCCAAGGAGAAGGGAGTGAGGGAGAAAGGGGAAATCAGAGGGAGAGAAATTTATTTTTTAATCATACAGGTTTACAAGAAGTGACAGAATAAGAAAGACAGCAAAGGGCAATGTTTTAATTCCAGGTGCTTTGCAAGCTTTTCTGGTGTAACTGTGTGTATAAATGCAAGAAGGAAGAAGAAGAAGAAAGAGCAAAACAAGATAAAGTGAGAGGTGCGAGAGTGAAAGAGGTTGGTACTGTCCCCTAAGTTGGGTACAATAACACATGGAACAAGTCCTCTGGGTCCAAGGTGAGAAGCAGCTGTAATGCCAGTCTACAAAACAGAAAAGACAAACACTTCTGCACGAGTGTGTATGCCAGTAGGCACAATGGGACAGCTACAAGGCCGTACACCAAGACTCATAAAAACACTGGGCCTCATTATAAAGATCAGAGCAGAGGCACCAAACACATTAGGGGTAGTATCACATTTTTCACTCGTCTGAGTCAAGGATAACAGCATCCTCACAGAAAGCCTGGAGTGAAACAAATCCAATTACAATCCAGCTTCCCACAAACTGAGATGCTATTTAAAATTAACCAAAAAGACAATGCTAAATTAGCAAACTAATTTTTTACGCTATTTAATATAAACCAGTATAAAGATGACATATTCAACTAAGAAATTCTACGGTTTGTTTTTTTCATATTTTTATTTCGATTTGCTGTTATCGTCTACAAATCTGATGAAACTACTTGATGAAGATGATTTGGTATAAAAAGAGCCTCCCTGCGGTGGTTGGGGATTCATAAGTCTGTAACAGACTAATGAAGAAAAATATTGTTTTTTATTGTAAGATTGTGACTAATTTAGGCATTTTTGACATACACTTCATTAAATCATTAAAGGATTCAGAGAATTATACATAAAGTCCAATTCAGAGAGTCAGTACTGAATGGACATGTGCAAAAAAAGAAGGCATGCCACTGTAGTTTCAAGCTTTATCTACAACTGTCCTACACAAAACACACAAAAAATATAACTATACAGCCAGAATCCTCTACAGAAATCATGGAGCCACGTATAACAGGGTAAAGAGGAGAGGACCATCATCTCACACTTCAAATGACCCAAACTTATGAAATCCCACATTAAGCAAAACATGTTTTCCTTTTACAGTAATACAGTAATTCCCTCAGATCCCAAATGCTTACAGCGTGTTTTTAAAAGAAGAGTTGATGCAACACAGTGACAAACACCCTACTTTATAAGAAATGTGTTGCTGAACAAAAATTCAAATTGGGCTGTTTTCCTTTACATTTTACAAAGAATTTCAACTTTTTTCACAGGGTTATAAAAAGGTCACACGATGGAAGTTTTTTAAGTCTTTTAGGATCCCCTCTATAGCTACAGACTTCAGTGCCAATGAGCTGACATTAAAGCATTCTCTCTTTGTTTGTTTTTTTCTATTCGCTCTATGCTATAACAATGTGCACGCTGTTAAGAAGAAGAGGAGGTATGGCACTGTGAATATCAACCTATGCTCCATGTTTCATACTCCCCATCCTGTGGCTCTGTTGTAAGGATCATGCCTGGACTTACACTTTATCCTCCATCTTTCTGTCACTAGTGCAAGCCTCGGCTTCCGACTTGAGACACACAATACTGGGTTCTCCAGCAAAAAGCCAGTGAACAGTACAGAAATGCACACAGAGTACAACATCAGATAAAAGGCAGAAAGTCTTATCTACAAAATGCAGCTACTAGGTTACTTGATTCCTTAGACAGACTTCGTCTCTGTGTCTAATTAGTTAGTAATTCATTAGTTTTGATAGCTCAACAGGGAGGACATTATGCCTATAAAACACCAACTATATTTAAATCAGTATTTAACACTGGTAGATTTTTCCCAAAGCACTTAAATGACTGTAAACTTGATTGCTGCAGCAATCAAGTAAATTAAAACCTATCTCTTAATCAGTACCAACTTCATATCTGTCTGTATACATGTGAGTGTGGCTGCTTTTCAGACTTCTGGCTTGAGCCTGGACATGTCTACATACTTGTCCTTGTGTTTCAGCTAGAGATGACAATCCGACTAGCCTGTTAGGTGAGGCAGAAACACAGGACTGACAGAGCTGCTGTCTGGGCATCACTGGTAGCAAGGAGGAATGGACAAACAGAGTTAAAGGTCTGGTCAGGGCTAATCTCTCTAGTGCACTAGAGCTAAGGAATAGCCCATGGCTAGTCTGACCAAATTTAAACTAGCTTTAAGAAAACTAAGCATGAGACCCGTACAACCAGGCACAGCTGAAGGGATGCATGCAGAAGGCCAAATTATTCATTCATTATTCATTTCACGCAAATACTAAGGAAACATTTTCTAAACACTTAAAAGTGATATACTTAAAAACTTGCCATAGAAACATTTTAGATCCTAATTACTTTGATAAAACCAAAACAGCTTGCAGCAATGCAGTCTTATATCGACACCCTATATCAATCATCAAATGACAGATGCTTCAATGCATTACCTTCATTATTTAGTGTTTTGTTACTTTTACAAATAACAAACTGTATATAACATGATTATCTGGACAGTAATTTCATTTTCACAGTTTTGCATGTGTACACGACTATAAAAAATTAGAGATCAACAATCAAGATGTCAAAAGGTGAAAAAAAAGGGGGAAGAAAAGCTCATTATGAAACTAAAAGTCACTTCACCCTATCTTGTGTCAGTGACAGAGAAAATACAAAAAAAAGGGGGCATGCTCCAAATACTTAAGGATGTGACAATGAACACATCTGTGCTAATGAGACTGATCAAATCTCCTGACATCCAGTGTCATAACAAAAGCAAACAGACAACTGCTGAAGCAACTGACTGATATGAGACACAATTCACATAATTCTGCAATCCGCTTGTACACACATTTGGATACCAAAAATACATAATTTGTCATCCATGTATTTTCTGCTCTTTCACTCTTTTTCCTCCATGACTGCCATAATAAAAACACAAATTTATGAGTCTAGGGTTTGATGAAAGGCTCAGGCAGCAACAGGGAGAATTTGCTCTCATTCTGCTGTTTATGTGTTTATTGAGTGACGCCTGTCCTCAAGTGACCTCGCATCTGAATGCAAAGGTGAGTTTCAAAATAACGTGGTTTACTGGAGCGTGTTGATGAACTGACTGAAAAAAAAAAGAAAGAAAGAAAAAAAAAGGTCAGTGACATGTAAAGCCTGACCGACAGTGCAGAAAGAGTGAAAGAGGGGAGGAGTGTGACAAAAGATGCATTAAAAATGAATCAGGACCGTTGTGTCCTTTGCACCGCAGTATGTGATGTGGTAGCTCTGAGGTTACTGTCGCTTTTGTGGGTACAATAAATGATTTGAGTATCAGGGAAAACTGAATTCAGGATGACCTGCTTGAGGGTAAAAGTCAATCCAGGTCTCAGCTTGATATTTCTGAATGGTCTGACAGCCTACAAGCCCACTTGCACTGCATCTTCAACACAGCATGGCGCCCCATTCACAAACTACGCACCCCAACAAACACAAAGACGATGTGATTTTTCATCTTTTACTGAGCTGCAGACGATAATTTCTCCCTGTATATGATCGCATCTTTGGACCAAAACACTGCATTCTGTAGGTGGGTCGGCAGGTGTGTGGGAGGAGAGAAAATTAATGCATTAGCCACCTCTAGTCTCAGGGGTAACCACAAAGCAGGTTTGCCATTAATAACTTATGCAGTGAGCACATTCAGTATAATGCTTCCTGATGTGGAACGCTCAATAAACAAATTTTGTTCGTTGAGGACTGGCAGCTGTCTTATAAACGACAGGTTGAACTGAATTAAAGGACCAGCTTTTGAGACAAACCAACCTCTAACTGAGTGGAAGAGAGAGAAATAGAGAAGGATCAGGAGTATTCAGTGTATTTTTGTGTATGATCTTTCAGTGTCAACAAAACAGAGAACAAAGAAAGCATGTAGAAAATTACACACAGCGGAAGAATATATACATATACACACACACACACACACACACACATATATATAAATAACAGCACCATTAGGATTTTATGTATATATATATAAAAAGTGGTCTGTATCAGTCCAAGCAGCAGGCCCTGGGAGCATCCTGTGAGATCAGAAAGGGTAAACATGACAACAGTTGGTGTGACAAGTGGCGTGTTTTCCATTGGAGCAGCACTCCCTCTGAGTGACAGGTTTCGACTCTCCGTCGGTGGAGGTCATCCGGAAGACAGCGTTGCTTTACAAACACAGTGAGCCAGAACATGTAGGAACAGTTTGCATACATTTAAATGTACAAACCAAGTCCTGCCTCCAGTAACTCTAAACCATGCTCTACAGAGATCATGCAGCACTGACACCCGGACAGTCCAGAGGATGGATTTGTGCAGACTATCAAGCACACCAATTCAGCCTTGACATCAGCTAACAGAGCCTTTATGGCTTTTTTCTGGGCCCAAAACCACCCTGTGATGACATCATGCACAGAGAGGGGGCGCCGCCACCAGCTACTTTCTCTGTGAGACACAGGCATTAGAGCAGTGCATGCTGGGAAACAGCTCAAGTGCCAAAGCATTTGGAAAGCTACAGCTGTTATTAGAAGAAATGAAAGATGAGAAGAGAGAGGTGTGCGTGTAAAGCAGGACAGTGAGAGTGCAGGGGAACAGCACCATTAGTATGTCTTACTGACCAGTACTCTTTTTTTTTTTTTTTTAAATGACCAGTACTCTTAACAAAGAAATCATTTCAGCGAGCCTTTTTATTCTACCTTTGCAAAACTTAAAACAACTATTTATGTATGAAAGTAGGTAGACTTTACTTTGGGGGTCCGATTAGTATATATAAATGATATAGGAGTGCTGCAGTCTTTAATAATCGCTGTCAAGGCAAACTATAGCCTGCACTTTCAATAATTCAGCAGGGAAGGCATGGTATATAGCTGCCTCTAACAAAGCTTTACAAAGGGCACTGGGAAGGTCTCCAACACAACGTCCAATAACAATGTGGAGTTGGAGTTTGCATATTTGATACAGGATCACAGACAATGGGGCGTGTGTGCCTACTTCACATTATTGCACCACCAGTCATGATATGGTGAACAGGCTGTAACTTGCCCTTTGCTATGACTAGCTTATCTTCATGCAGTGCTGACTGACAGAAGCATTCAACCTGCTTAAAGACCAAATCTCTTTGACATTTAAACAATACTACAAGTATTAGGTATCTTACTGCAGCGGATCAAATAAAAAGACATGGCAGGGGTGGAGAAAGCTATAACAACCAAGTAAGTTATTTGCCAAGATAAATCTCAAAGTGCATAAGGCAGATAAGCATTTATATTACCAAGCTTTTTGGAGTCTGTTTAAAGGTGGTTAACAATTAAACAGACCAATTTCCTGATTACTAAAGCAGCTACTTGTGCAGGTTACTGTCCAGCTGCACTGTCTTTAAAACGGTTACCAGCCAATCAGTAACAAGTACTTTGCATGGCCATATTCTGCTTACTATAAAAAAATAAAGCACTAAAGTACTACAGTACTGCTTTATTCTACTTCCATCCCACCTGCAGCAGCTTGAAGCTATGAGGGAAAAACCAGTATGGAATTTTAGGAATTGTTATTGGCAATCTAGTTAAGATGTAAATATTAAAAAGCACACTTTGGCTGCTGTCCTAGTCAAAGTGCATGTAAGTCGTGGTAAACTCTGGAGAATAAAAGTGTCTGAATAGCCGTTCCCCTGAACTAACAATGGTGAACACCTATGCCCTCCATATTACTGCAGAGAAAGAGCCAGTAGTCAAAAGAAAGTAGAGAAATCAGAGGGAGAGGAGGAAAGAGTATAAAGGAGATAGAGGGAGTAGCAAGTGGCTACAGAGTGCATTTTTTCATTCAGGTGCACACATGCTGCTCGGCACACACCCCATACCTGCCAGAAGTCCTGCAGAGAGGGAGGGGCAGAATGAGAAGGAGGGAGCGAGACAGAGGAGATGAAGAGGAGGTGAAGGGGGAAGGGGAGTTGGTTGGTGGAGAGTGGGGATCAGCAGATGTAATGATTGGGAAAATGAGGCAGAGAAAAAAAGAGGGGATGTTGGGAGACGGGGAGTTGACAATGATGGTTATTCAAGAGGAAGAGAAGAGAGAACATGGGGGGAGGGGTGTTATTTGTTACATGAATGAGAGAGAATGGTTGATAAGAGCATGAGAGAATAATCAACAGTTAACAACGTCAGGTCACATCAACATTGGATTACTGCAGCTGAAAAGCATACCAACATGATGAGGACAGAAAGAATAACCAGAGCGAGGCAGGGAAATAACAGCAGAAGGAGAGGTGCGCTTAAACGATTTGTCGAGCAAAGACAAGCAGTTAAAGATTTTTAAAACAATCGCGATACTGCACACATGGATGGAAAACAACACAATGAGCAGGTTGAGTCAATATGAACCACACCTGGTAAACAACCATACAAGTTTGTCTTACATAAAGACTGAACCTGGAACAAATTTAGTGTCAGCGGGAGATGGTGGACAGAAGGACGTACACCTACACATATTCCCACTTAACTATGCCCAAACATTGCAGTTGGCTTAGCTATTTTTAAATAAAACCATGGGAAGTGAGATACAGAGGCCTTTAGGAGACCTTTCATGGCATTCTCACACATGGTGTGGGCTTTAGCTTTGGTTTAGCTGAAATGCTCCCTTCGTACTTAACTATATTTCCATTCACAGATATTGTACCATTACACTTCTCTGGGCATTTCATGTAGGTCTTACTCATTGTACTTTTCAGGTTTGTGTTAACCTAAATAGTAAAATGGAAAAAGTAATAGTTTACTCCTCTAAATTGCTAGAGGTGAGAAGAAGGTGTGTCTCTCTGGGCAAATGAGGAGTTAAGAAGATGGGAATCTCTCGGGCCACTCTAGCCATGGCAGTAAAATTGCCAGGGAAAATCCAAAGCTAAACATGCCTGGCAAATGCAAGAAACATGAGGACTGAAGCATCGGATCATTTACATAAACAGACAAGGGCCAGACAGGACGAGTGCTCCACTTTAATTTTGGTCTGCCACACAATTTCATAAGCCCCTTTGATTACTATATATCCCATACTTTTAACAGATTTTTAAAATATGGGTGAGTAAAAGTACTCTAGGTCTCACAAAACATAAGGTAAGGTAAAGCAAAAGAGCAGGAGCAGAGAAAGGAGTACAGGAAGAAACCTATGACAAAAAAGTAGACTGCAATCCCTCGCTACCTGTTCATCTGACTTCAATATGGAGATCAGGCAGATACTCGTAGCAACCTGAGGCCTGATGAATTTTGTAATGAGGTTAGAAGCTACAATCGCCACACTGATGATTAGCTAATATTAAATGAATGCTTAGCTGTTGGGTGTTGAGAGGTGCTGTCTGAAATCTATGGAAGGGCAGTAATGGTCACTAATCAATATCAATAAATGTACTTATGCAATATGATCTTGGTGATTTATATTCATGGAAATGTCAGCATTTAGAGCACTGGCACTAGCTCCCTGAAGTCAATCAGTGTCCATAAGGGGCCAGCCTATAATGCTTGCATGCTGCCATTGTCTTTGAAGAGGTCATTATACAGTGGGCGGGCCTTCTTTGTGCATGTCCCTATTATAGTTACTCTTAAGTGCTTTGTTAAAGGCACCTTCACACTAAATGGCTTTTCTGGCCTTTAATCCTTTTTCTGAATTTTAGAGCTCAAACAATAGTCAGAAAACAACACATTCGGGTTGGAAGCAGACAGCAAACGCAGGACCAAAAGCAAAGACACGAGCAAAGAAGTATATAAGATACTGTCCCTCTTCAATATTTAAGATGGCGGAGGCAAAAACATTTTTTGACTGTTATTCTAATCTAATATTTTGTTTTGACAAAACCGACTTACACACAACAGCTTAACAACAGAAACAAGGAAAATACAAAAAAATACAAGTTAAACATGTTATTCAGACAGCAGCATTAGATATTTGCTACTAATTTCTGGATTGTTTGCTGGATGTAATGATGTTTTCTATTTCTTTGCTTTCTCTTTGCCACTTTTGAAATGCTGCAATCCAACTTCCTGCGATAAGTATTTAATGTTTGTTCAATAGAGTTATAGATTCCTTTCATGCAAAGCTCTCCAGCATTACCAATTCATCCAGAAAAATGAACAAATGTAGTTCTGTCTCTATGCAAGATTTAATTCACAGTTTTCACACAAAGTTGCTAATATTTTACGAGTTAACCTGTGATTTGGCTCTAGTTATTTTTCTTTCAGAGGGGATAATACTGACTTTTATACTCACTTTATTTCAGTAAGACCAAACCTTATAAAACCTCACTCATAATTACCTCTCTCTGTTTGCATATTTTTTTTAAGTCATGAACAGATAAAAACCTTACTATAATCTGATGATTAAAAGGCTAATTATCAAGAGCAGACTTCATTTGCTTCATCTTTTCTGCATGAAGATACAATTCTAAATATTTTTAAATACATTTTTAAAAAAGGCATTTTTCTAAATGTCGACTTCACTTTGGTCTATTTCTGCTCAAGAAAAAAAAACACATATTTTTTAGGTTTGTGGATTATTCAGAGTAACTAGGCTGCTGATTAAGTTTTCAATGTTTTCAGTCTTTTAAAGCTAAAAACTAAAACAATCAACAATTTGTGTGACTGAAAAAATTCTTTTTCTTTTTTTTAATTTGTTTTTTATTTGATGAACTGATTCTTAAATCTGGGTAATAAACCCCTCTGGTGGACTAGTAAGATGTAACAAGCTTTGCAATAGGAAAGATATAAACCTTCTTCTCTTGGTTTACATTACACTCACAAAAATCCCACAACAGCTACCCTAAGCTGAATTTAAGAATTAAAAATTAAGCTATGACACAATTAAACTCCTGGTGACCTGCATGATGACCAAATAGACCAAGACCTAGACACCTGTTCCTTACCTTGCCATCATACCGCTTCACGATGAACTGGTCGAGGCCTAGATCTATGAAAAAAAGAGAGAGATACAAGGAGATTATAGATTAGGGCAGAAAAATTCTAACAAACGAAGACAGACTTATTAAGAGCATGAACCAGAGCAATTACATTTACTTGGTGTCACTGTTGAACCTCTGGTAATAAAAGACATGTGCTGGAGAATAATAATAGTCATTAACAAAACCATTTGCATTTTGCCAAACAATGATCAGCATTCAGCGTTTGCTGGCCTGATCATCAGTTACGACTCAGTTCTCAAACAAGGATTCATTTTATAGATCCAGATGAGCAACACAAACCAAGATCCACACCATGCAGGAATTGTATTTACACACAGATTATCTTGACACGAGTACTTTCAGGCATTTGGTTTAATTAGAAATCAGTGTTATTTCATGCTAACACAACAAACAATCACTTCGGTTACACACACACACAATTTGGATCAGGTGAAAATCAGTCTACATGCTTATTATTATGGTTCTGTTGCTTCTCCCTGAAAGGAGGACAGAAAATGTGATTTTTACTAAACTATTAATTATCCCTGAAAAATAAGTTCTTCGTTTTGCATAAAAGAGAGCCGCACCTTTTAATAAAGCTAAATCTAACTAACTTTGGTGTGAGGCGGCAATTTTCATCCATTATATGATAATTCATGCAGAACCTGCAGTCCTTTTAAATTCCAAAAGTCACACTCAAGCTTCTTTGGATCACACAGAGACTAAGTTCAGACTGACCTCATTAAATCTAACTCTAACACAATGAAAAGACTTAAAAGTCTGTTTCATCTAAATTACAGGAAACCACAAATTAGTTCACTGGAGTATGAAAAAGCTACTTTTTTTCAGTAGTTGGTTCCCATGGAGAAGAATATAATATAAAATAATGTGGGCTGTGAGGATGTATAGACATTGATAAGCTTCATATTTAAAAACTCATTCTTTTTAATCTATATTGAGTATTACTCAGAAAGAGCAGACAGCTGTTGCACATCATCTACAACTTACATGCATCACTGCTATAAGAATTCAGCAGTTTTAATGGTGGAGGAAATTTGAAGCTCGTTGTGTAATATCAATATATTGTAAATAATCTAGCTTGAATAAAATGACAGTTTCCTATCCACCTTTGCACTGCATGTATGCACTGATACAATACTAGAACACTACAAGCATACACATGCTTGTAGTGTTCTAGTATTGTATCAGTATCATAAATCCCTCTGCTCATGAACATCGTGTAGTGAAAATGTGGCAAACTTGGACGGATCATATAGACGTAACAGAAAAGAGGCTGAAACCATGCTGCTGTTGGTTGCTTGTCTAATGGGGTCAGTTCTGGAAAAGCGGTGAGCAAAAATAAAACACTTGAATTCCTCAATTTAAAACAAGCAAACTGTTTTGTCATAAGATGACAGACTAACTAAAGCAAATTGCTGCGAAAATCTCAGCCTCACCTTTAACCCCTAAAGTTCTTGACCTTCCAGAAAGTACGAACCCTGGAAGTTAAGAAATAGTAACAAGTTTTTAAGTTGTACTGGACTTAGGTCCAAAAGGGTCCCAGAAAATTTCTGCAGGGGTGGAAACTTATGAACAAAATCCTTTCTTTTGGCTTTGTTATCTGCTTGTCCATCAGAGCACAGTTTATCATTATTTTAATGCCAGTTTAGCAAAAGACAGTAACCTTAAATAAATGAATAGCTTTAAAATTGACACATGAGCGAAAGGTGAATCTAAGAATAAAAGGTTTGGGGACCAAGCTAAGCCAAGTCTTAAACATTATTAACAGATGGAATAGCTGAGAATCAACACAAATGTGAGACATCCAGACTAATCCTTATTGAGTGTTAAGCACGCTTGAGTCCTTTACTGTGAATGAAACGTTCTTTAACAATAAACCAAGAATACGACTG